CTGCTTCTCCCTCTGACCCTCCCCCCCTCATGCTCTCTCTCTCATTCTCTCTCTCTCAAATAAATAAATAAAATCTTTAAAAAAAAAAAAAAAAAAAAAAACTAAGATGATTTATTGTTCCTCATATTTAAAAAAATTTTTTAAATTTTGAAACAATCACATTTTCCCTGACCTTTGAGAATAAATGCCCATCACCTCCAAATGGAATATATTTCCTACCAAAAAAATATATTCTCCTGCATCACTACAATATAACCATGAAAATCAGGAAATTAACACTGAGCATTACTGCCCACAGACCAGATTCTAGTTTTGTCAGTTATCATAATAATATTCTTTATAGCAAAATAATCCATTTCCAAATCAGATGTTATAATTTAGTTTCAAGTCTCTTTAATCTCCTTTTCTCCAAGCAGTTCCTTGATTTTTTCCTTCTTTTTCTTGATACTTTTGAAGATGATACTTACTGTCATAGAATGGTCCATGATGTGGGTTTGTCTGAGTGTCCTCATGATAAATACAGGTCATACATCTTTGGCAAGCATATCGCAGAAGTGACACTATCTTCCTTTCCTAGCATCCTTACCAGATCAGGCACTACCTCAATTTGTCCCATAATTGATGAAGATGTTCACTTTGTGCACTTGATTAAGGTGGTGTCTACCAGGCCTCTCTATTGTGAATTTATTATTTTACTACCTAAGGGCTTTAGCATTGAATTGTTCAGGAAGAGGGAGAGCTGTTTTTCACATTCTAAGCCTTGTGTGTTTTTCCTGTAGGCACTTATATTTTTAAAAGGGAGGGTGGGTGGGCAGAGATAGGGCTAATGAATTTAACCCTGTATCCTGCTGATATGGTTGCTATGATTTTCATTTATTAGTTTATATATAGTTACTTCAGAACATGAATTTTTTTGATGGTAGTCAGATAAACAGGAATAATTTTATATTTACTTTGGTTGAAATACATGCAGCAGAGCCTAAAAAATGATGTAGCAAGCTTTGCTAGGGTTTACCTGTTATGAAGTTGTATAAACACAGAGTTGAGGTAGCTTGAGCCCTTTTGAAAACAACACATTTATTTCTTTCAATTTTATTGAGATATAATTGACATACAGGACTGTGTAAGTTTAAGGTATACAGCGTAATGACTTGACTTGCATATATAACAAATTTATATTGATATCTTTATGAACATTGGTTTTAAGAGTTTGGAGAAAACACTAACACTGATCTTCTTCACAGTGCAGCAGAGACCAAGAGATGATGGACTAATGGACTTAGCAATGAATGACTATGATTTTAATTCTGGAAAGAGGTTGCACATGATAGATTTGGAAATCCAAGAGGCGTTTTTGTGTTTCATGGCCTCTATTTTAAAAGGTTATAGATCATACTTAAGACCAATAACACAAGCCCCATCTGAGACAGCCACAGATGCATCCTCTCTTTTTGCCCTACAAGGTGAGTGATTGTATAGTTTTATAGTTTTCATATTATTGAGTTTAACCTTATGATGATTCAGTTGTTTTCTGTGTTAATTAATAGCTCATGTTTATCAAAATACATACCTTTTTTGGAAGTATGTGAAGATCAACTTTGTTGGTAATCCATCTCCACAAAACTAGTTATTTCTCGGGCACATTAGTTATAATCCCATTAGCTAAATATTTGAAAAGCACAGAGCTTCCTAACCATGTAGGAATGTTGTATCACAGATGTGTTGAGATATTGATATTTTTAGCTTTCAGAGCAGCTAAGCAATGTTGGACACTCAAAGGAGCCCCTGGGATGGTCACCTCCAGGCATGAGCAGCCTCATTCATTTTACTTCAGTGTGCTTTATAAATACTACTTTCTGTTTGTGCCCCAAAGCAAAAGAAGTAGGAGAGCCCCAGAGTGCAGTTTCTGTCATAATACATATTTATTTTTCTCTTGTGGTATATAACATTTGCAAGAGAAATTCATTTAATATATATATATATTGAGTTCCTCTAACTACTAGGTATATAGTGGTATGCAAAAGGTACATGGTCACAAAAAAAAGAGAGAGAGAGAAAGACATGGTCACTTCTCCCATTGAGCTTATAGTCAAGAAGATAAGCAATTTGAAAATAATATGAATGAACACTTTATTTTACAACTTTAGATCACAGAAAGCCCTTCTGAGGAGTTTATGTCTGAGCCATGATCTCAGGGATGAGTAGAAATTAGCCAGGCAAAAGAAAAGTAGAAGACAGTTTTAAGCAGAGAGAACAGGTGGAAATAATTTGAGCATATGGGCCCAAAAGAAGGCCCAAATGTAGTGTAACTGACCATAAAGAGCAATGTGGAGCATGAAATCAGGAAATAAATTTTTACTCTGTTTCAGTAAGACACAGACATAAACAAATACTAGAAGAGATGTAACTGCTGTTTTGAGAAAAGCCAAATACATGGACAGAGAGTATGCCATGAGCATAGAACATGCAACACATTGGGAGGGAAAAAGCAATTTTAAAAATGCTTTCAAATTTACTACTTTATGTGTAATCTTCAAGGTAGTGGGGGACCACAGAGACAATTCTGGGTGAGGATTTGAAAGATCTAGGTTCAAGTTCCTTTCCTATTGCTATCTTTGTCAGGTCATATCCCTTTTCAGGGGTCTTAGTTTCTTTTTCTTCAAAGTGGTGGGTTGAGGGGGTATAGATGATGTGGTTAATCAAGTTTCTTCTGGCTTAAAATGTAATGAATCTTTGAATGATGCTATATTTTGTGACATTATGAATTTATGTTGAACAGCTTTCTTAAGAAGCCGCGACCGGTCACATCAAAAATTCTATAGCATGATGACCAAAACACAAATGTTCATTCGCTTCATTGAGGAATGTTCTTTTGTCAGTGATAAAGATGCAAGCCTGGCATTTTTTGATGATTGTGTAGATAAAGTAAGTAATAGTATGTCTACAGTGCCCTGACTTATTTTGTGTGATTGTTTTAAATGTTATGAGTTATAGTTTCTATTTAACTTTTATCAGCTTTTAACAAAATCTAAGTTCATTCCATTTCATCATTGACTCTTTATTATGAAAGTTCTGTTTGGGCTACTAGATATTATAGAGCACCTCTTAGGAGTACCTTGCAGGATTTTGCCAAATCATCAGTTTTATTTTAGCACTCAGGATCTGTAACCTTGCCTGCCCACTTATAGACTATGGGAGTTCTGTCCAAGTGTGTGGACCTCTAACCTGAACATCCTTAATTTTCACTTCTCCTTTTTGAGGATTGCCACATGCTGACAGTAGGTGTAGAGCATAATGAATATTTCACTTGAATATTTTTACAATGTGGAAGTGAATTTGTAGCTGAAATTAAGTGCATTAATTGTGCTATTTTAAACTGATGTGTGAAACCTTCCCTTCCCCTTCAGTCCTAATATCATTAGGTGGGGTGGAGCAAGGTGGGTATCCCTATGGAACAGAGAGAGGTTGGGGAACAGTGGCCTAGAGTGGGGTGTCAAAAGCTGAATGGGATGAGGAAGGAGGAGCAGCCTAGCATTGGGTGTTGGAGCCCAAGCCAGGTGAAGACAGCATCCGTGTAAGGGGCAGCCTAGCATGGAGAATCAGAGGATGAGAGGATAAAAAGAGTGTCCATGCTAGGGGACAGACAGCTGCAGGGGGTCAGAATAAATAGGATGAGAAGAATATCCATGCAGAAACAACGTGAATATCAGAGCCTGAGCAAGGTAAGGAGAGTGTCTCTACTGGGTAGGGGCAGCAAATGGGGTATCAGTGTTTGATCTGGATGAGGAAGATGCCAGCTTGATGGGGGTAGAGGTTTGGTCTGGAAGTAGTTGTTGAAGCCAAATTAGGGTGAAGAAGTCATATGTGTGGGGAAGGGTGGTGGTAGAGATGGGAGAATATAGCATATGGGGGAATGGATCAAATAAATATATTAAGGATAATGAAGTTAGTCACTGTCAGAGAAGGGACTTACAAATACAGAAAAGGAGAAAACCTGAATGAACTCTGTGGTATTAGAATGGAATTGAAGGTTTGATATATCATTGGTATTCAATATGTATAGACAAATATAGAAATAAATATAGATACAAGTATGTGTGTCTTTGTGTGTACAAACATATATTCCCTAGCTCTGTACATGGTGAGGACCTAGGAGCAGCCATCCCCAATAGCAATGAGTACACCTAATGCACAGATTCTGACTTCTAAATACTGTTCTCCACTAAAAGGAATTAGGACTCCTTGGAGAAATTATTGGGTCTAGGGCAAGGAAAGTACAAAATGAGCCCTGAAGTAGCTTGTGCTAGAAAACAAGGAATTGCTCCAAGAATAATGGAGACATGTTTTTTAAAACAACATCACACACATATAGGCAGATGCACGTGCCCGTGTGTGTATATGCACACACACACACATACAAAGACAAGCCAGCTTGAAGGGACTCCCACTGGTTACATCTGAGACAACTTGAACATCAAATGTTAGTAACAGATTATAACCCATTGAAAAAAAATAGGAAACTATGAGTTTACACAGATACCAATCAAGAGTCTGATGAGAAACAGGATTTTAGTTTCAAAGTACCTCTGCACAAAATACATATTAATTACAAAAGGGGAAAGAATAACTTTATGGTGGAACAGAATGCCTGGCAGACCCCATTTTTATCTAATCATCAAAGTAAACATCATCAATAGTGGAACAAATCAACATATGCGTATAATAGGCCACAGTGAAAATACAACATCAACTCTATATTTCTGCTAAAGATGCATATAACCTGCATATCTCAAGGAAATATCATACAAACTCAAATTAAGTGACATTCTACAAAATACCTGTTCTGTAATCCATGAACTGTCAGGGTTAAGAAAATAAAGGAAAAATTGAGAAACTGTTCAAAAGTGAAGGAAACTGAAGAGACTTGACATGCAAATACAATGTATTGTTCTGAACTGGATGCTTTTGGCATAACATTATTAATATAATCATTAAAACTTGTATGTAGTTTGAGTATTAGACATTAGTAGTGTAACATGTTAATTTCCATTTTCATGTTGTGTTATGGTTAGATAAGAGAATGTCATTGTTTGTAGGAAGTACACACTAAAGTATTCAGGGGTGGTGGGTCATCAGGCCAGCAATTTACTCTGAAAAGATTAAGGGGGAAAAGTTGTTTTTTACATGAAAAGTTAACTATACTTGAAACTCTCGTATAAATTTGTGACTATATATACATAATGTTCATGATTTTATGCCCATGACAAGAGAAGAAAGGGAGAAAGCAAAGCTTTGTCATATATTTACTCAACAGGTTATACTTGTAAGGCTGTTTAAAGAAGTCCATCACATTCAAATTTATGTGATTAAAAGAAAATCAGTGATTTTTGAGGGCAGGGGGCATAACAGCCAAAGTACAGCTCATCCCTCAGTATTCAGAAATCAGCTCAGTTCTGAGTTGGACTCGAAGGTGTCCTTTACTAACTAAAAAATCAGTACCAAATATGTCTTACAAAATGAGAAATGATTCTAACTATGCCAGATGTAATAGGAAAAACACTGCATTGGGAATCAGGACAACTTGAGTCCCAGCTCTTATACTTGTGATTTGAGTCAAGTCATCTAGTCTTTCTGTGTTGTTTTCTTACCTATGTTTAAAAGATATTGTGAGGGGGGAGGAGCAAGATGGCAGAGGAGTAGGAGACCCAAATTTCGTCTGGTCCCAGGAATTCAGCTAGTTATCAAACCATTCAGAACACCTACAAACTCAACAGGAGATCGAAGAAAAGAATAGCAACGCTCTGAACAGAAAAGTACTCACTTTCTGGAAGGTAGGACGTGCGGAGAAGTGAATCCGAGGCAATATTCAGGAAGACAGACTGCGGGGGGAGGGGGCCTCCGTCAGCTGGCTACCGGCAAGTAATAGAGCAACAGAGTGCAAAATTGGAACTTCTGGAAGTCAGCTCCGCTGAGGAACGTTGCTCCAGTGGCTAAGCGGGGGGTGGAACCCTGGCTGGGACAGTGTGGTCTCAGGACCCTTGGGGTCACAGAAAGACTGGGGGTGTCTGAGTGTGGCAGAGCTCCCAGGTATTGGAGCAGGGAAGCTGGCTGCAAAGACGGAGCCAAGGAGTGGGCTCTCAGATCGGGGTTGCCATAAACTGTGACCTGCTCTTTGAGCAAGGAC